TTTGGGCCATCACGAAAGCGCTGGCTGGAGCCTGGACTACGACAACACGCATGCATGTGCTCCCCCAGCGCCGCGACTGTGCATTCGGTTGCAGGTGCCCTGATGCTGTACAACACTACCTCGTATGCCCACGGTTTCTTCATTATGTTGCACAGCCTAGAGGACAGCTGGCCACCGACATTCTCACGCGGCTCGTCCTCCCGACGCTCGAGACCCCGTTCGACGGCGAGAACGGGATTGCCTCGTCGGCCATGCGCTTGGGAGTCGCGACGAGGCTCTACCACATCCTAAAGGACACTGCCAGCGTGAGGTGCGCCACGCCGTCAAAAGGCTACGCGGCCACTCGCGCTGCTCGGCGCGCTCTGCAGCTACCTCACGACGCTACTGGAGGCGCTGGCCGCCGCGGCTGCCTGACGCCCCTGAGCCGCCCACGCGCGGCCCGAATGCCGCACCCTGTGCCCCTGGCTGTCTCCGCTGGCAGCCCCGCCTGCAGCGCGCGCGCGGCCAGCCTGCCGCGCCCTGTGCCCTCGCGCAATGCCCCAGGCAGTCACATGATTTAGTCTCGTGCTCCGCGCTCGGTGCCCCCCGCCCCGCCCGCGAGCCGAGACGGCGCGCTCCCGTTACAGAGGGGGGCCCACTGACCGAAGCGAGCCGTTCGCCCCCAGGCTTCGTTCACTCCTCCTCCTCCTCCTCCTCCTCCTCCCCCTAGCCATTTCGCGCCCGAGCGGCCCCCCCCTGCACCGGGCCCCTTGGACGACGCGGCGCGCAAACTTCGAAGCGGCGCTGCGCGCCCGAGTCATGAAGAAGCTGCGCGGACCCCCAGCGCCATTTGCTACAACGCTGAGATCAGGCGAACGCGCAGCTGCCAGGATGCCCGCCCCCTCCCGCCCCCTCCTCCTCCTCTCCGTCTCCACCCTCCTCCACCCCCTGGCAGACCGGGGCGCCAGCCGATGCGGCGCCGCGGGCAGAGTGCGGGGACAACAGAGTCGTGAGCAACTACAGCGTAGGGATCAGGCCGTGAGAGAAGACCAGCAATGGCAGGCAGAGCTGACGCTGCGAGAAAGCAAGCAGTGGCAGCCAGAGCTGGCGCTGCGACAGGGACGAAGGCGCGGGTGGGCCACGATCAGCTACAACGGCGGGGGCAATCCGTGCGAGAAAGGCAGCGCAGTGGCAGCGGACGCCGGCGCTGTGCAAAATGCGCGGGCGGGCCACGATCAGCTGCAACGCTGGGGGTCGCCCGTGCGAGAAGGAGGGCCTGCGAGGAGCGGGAGGCGAAGCTGGGGCCCGAGTGTCTCTTCTAGCTAACGCCTCTGGGAACAGCGCGTGCGAGAAAAGCGAGCAATGTATTGCCGCGGCCACCCTGCGAGAAGTGGGAGGCGAAGGCAGAGCCCGATGTCGACAGCTACAGCGTTGGGATCGGGGCAAGCCGCTGCGAGAAAAGGGAGGCGAAGCTGGAGCCCGAGTGTCTCTTCTAGCTAACGCCTCTGGGAACGGTGCGCGTGGGAAAAGCGCGCAATGTTCTGCCGCGGCCATCCTGCGAGAAGCGGGGGGCGAAGGCAGAACCCGATGTCGACAGCTACAGCGTTGGGATCTGGGCAAGCCGCTGCGAGAAGAGGGGGGCGAAGCTGGAGCCACACGTCATATAGCTAACGCCTCTGGGAACAGTGTGTGCGAGAAGAGCGCCACCCTGCGAGAAGTGGGAGGCGATTGCAGAGCAAACACCTCTGGGAACAGCGCCTGCGAGAAGAGCGCCATCCTGCGAGAAGCGGGGGGGCGAAGGCAGAGCCCGACGTCGTCTGCTACAGCGTTGGGATCTGGGCAAGCCGCTGCGAGAAGAGGGAAGCAATGCTGGAGCCAAACGTCATCTTCCTAGCCACCACCGTGCGCTGGGAGAAGCGGGAGGCAAAGTTGGAGCCCGACTCTATCTAGCTACACTCGCTACAAGCAGCACGTGCGAGAAGTGCAGGGGCCAACGAACGGGCTCCGGCGCGAAATGGCAGGGTACGGACGAGCTACCCTAAGTTACAGTGCAGAGATCAGCCCGTTGTGCGAGAGCAGGAGTGGAGGAAATCCACTCGTGCGAAAAGGGGGAAGCAAGCAGGCAGTGGCAGCGGGGCTGCCCAAGCGTGCGTGCGAGAAGCAGGCAGTGGCAGCGTGCTGCCACGGCGTGTCTCAGTGTCCTGGGGGCGATCCTCGGAAGATCTTTGGGTGTTTGAATCGGTTGGGGGAAGGGCGACACCCGACCACCAACCGCCTCTTCTGATGCAGCCCCATGTCGCCCAGGAGAGGCCTGGGGGATGGTGCTGTCTCATCGTCGTCGGTCGCGCTCTCTTGCTCATGGCGCGGCAGATCAGGACAGTAGAATCCTCATAGCAGAATCCTCCTCCTCCTCCTCCTCTTCCTCCTCCCTCGCCTGTCCCCCAATTTGGTATCTTAAATTGTGCCCACGCGGGCTCGATGCGGACTCGAAGCGGATTTGGCGAGGATTTGACGCAGATCCGACACAGTTCTGACACGGATTCGACACGGATCCCCGATGAGCCCAGCACGGATTCAATGCAGATGCGACGCGGACGGGGCCGCGACGGGACAGACAAGGTCCCCCGAGGATGCAACATAAGAGCGGCCCGACCTCTGCCGCACAGGGGGCCCCGAGGCTCGCGCGAGCCCTACCGCCGCCGCTCCGAGGAGCGCCGCCGCCGCCGTCGGGCACGGCGTCCCCGGTGGCGCGCGGGCGTGCGGCCGCCCGTGCCGCCGCCTCCCCGTGCCGGTTTCTCCCTCTTGTGCTCGGCCACGCGCAGGCGGCTTCTTGGGAGGCTGCTTCTTAGGGGAGGCTGCTTTTTAGGACGGGGCTGCTTCTCCGGAGGAGGCTGCTTCTTGAGAGGAGGCTGCTTCTCAGGAGGAGGCTGCTTCTTAGGAGGAGGCTGCTTCTCAGGAGGAGGCTGCTTCTTAGGGGGAGGCTGCTTCTTAGGAAGAGGCTTCTTAGGAGGAAGGCGGCTTCTTAGGAGGAAGGCTGCTTCCTAGGAGGAGGCTTCTTCTTAGAACGGGAGGAGGCTGCTTTCTAGGAGGCGCTGGCCTTGTCTGTAGAAGGTCAGGCCCGCGCCTTCTAACAAGCAGCCTCCTCCTAGGGAACCTCCCCCCATCTTCTGCGCACCGCCAGTGCTCTCTGTGCCTCTGCTTCGCTCGCGCTTGCTGTGATTTGGAGCCGGCCGGGGGTCTGAGGTGGCCAGCAACGGTTCCAGCGAGCAGGAAAGGCGGGCGCGGTCTGGGGTTCTGGGTTCGGGGTTGTTTTTGAGTTCTTTTCGACCTCCGCGGGCCGTTGCCGGGCCCCAGGGCGGCCAACAGCGGATCCGGCGTGAACCGCTGCACCAGATGGACCCCGGGAGGGGTCCGGGCACCGATTTTGGGAGGATCTGGCTTCGTCCCCCCCTCCTGACCAACTTTCTCGAGACCTGTGCAGCCAAAGCTCCCCCGCCGCCTCCCAGCTGTGATCGCCACGCCGCTGCGCACGCGGCTGCCGGCGCACAGAGCTGACGGCAGGGGTGTGCACGGCGCCGCAGCAGCGTCGGAGGGCACCGCTCGTGCACCTGGCACCAGTCCCGGCCGAGGCCGGGCCTGGGCCCCCGTGCCCGAGCCAGGAGGGCGTGCGCGCCGCTCCTGGGCCCGGGGGGGGGCTGGCAAGGATCGGTACCGGAGTACTGAGGAGCCTGCTTTCCACCACCACCGCCATAAGTTGGAGGGGGGGAGGAGGAGGAGGAGGAGGAGGGAGGAGGAGGAGGAGGAGGGAGGAGGAGGAGGAGAGGAGGAGGAGGAGGAGGAGGAGGAGGAGGAGGAGGAGGAGGAGGAGGAGGAGGAGGAGGAGGAGGAGGAGGAGGAGGAGGAGGAGGAGGAGGAGGAGGAGGAGGAGGAGGAGGAGGAGGGGAGGAGGGGAGGAGGGTGCGGAGGAGGAGGAGGAGGGAGGAGGAGGAGAGGAAAAGGGGGCGGAGGAGGAGGAGGAGAGGAGGAGGAGGAGGAGGCAGGAGGAGGAGGAGGAGGAGGAGGAGGAGGGAGGAGGAGGGGGGGAGGGAGGAGGGGAAGAGGGGGAGGAGGAGAAGGAGGGGGAGGAGGAGGGGGAAGAGGGGGAGGAGGACGAGGAGGAGGAGGAGGAGGAGGAGGAGGAGGAGGACCACCTCCTCCAACTTATGGTGGTGGTGGTGGTGGAAAACGCGCCCATCATGTACAGTCAAGACGTTGAGGCAAGACCCCCTTTGGGTCCAGGAGGGTCACACATTGGAAGGGGCGTCTCAAGCTTTCGTCGGGCCTGCGCAGTGTCCACAAGAGCAAGGGCGCAGCTGAGCACAGGAGGGCGTGCAGGCAGCTGCGGAGCTCGGACATGCAGAAGCAAAGTGAGGACGACGCTGCAGAGCCCTAGGGGAGCAGAGCGTTGACAGCGCGAGCACCAATCTGGTGTTCGGGCCTTTCCTCAGACCAAGGTGGGGGGACCTCCGTGGTCAAGGCTCGCCGTGGTCAGGAGAGCCCCTCCGTTCCTTATGTGGTGTTCAGTATGGGAGCACGACGACTGCACACGCGCGGGAGCTTTTGGATAGCGTGTCGCTCCTTCGGTTCTGGCCCACCACGCCTTCGCGCGACACGCTATCCACTTCCCGGCCGGCTAGCGCCAACGCCCCGAGCTTTTCCAAGCCCCCCGCCTTGCAGAGCGGAGCGACGCGCTCTCCGCTCGCAGGGCACAGCGTGTCGCCGCGGCCGCCGCCGCACCACGCCAAGCACAAAATCCGACGGTAGCTGTAAATCTGGAGTTTTCCTGTACAGGAGGAAGACTCAAGAATGATACACAACTAGTCTGGTGCTGTTTGTATTAAGATTGAAAAAGCGCGTTTCTTCCAACATCCGCTTGTAGAAGGACATGCCCGACCTAACCGCAGCTGGTACCGTACTGCAGCAGCGGGGGCCGAGGCAGCCCCCGCGCCCACGGCCGCCGACGCGCCCGGCGGCGCGGCCAGGCGCGCGCGCGGGCGCTGGCCGAGGAGGAGGCCGCCGCCGACGCCGCGGCGGAGGCGGCCGCTACCGCAGAATGGCTCTCTCTTGATGGGCCGAGTTCCCACCACCACCACCACCGTAGGTAGGAGGAGGAGGAGGAGGAGGAGGAGGAGGAGGAGGAGGAGGAGGAGGAGGAGGAAGAAGAGGAGGAGGAGGAGGAGGAGGAGGAGGAGGAGGAGGAGGAGGAGAAGGAAAAGGAGGAGGAGGACCTCCCAATCCTCCCTTCTCCCCCGTCCTACCTATGGTAGTGGTGGTGGTGAACAAGCTCATCTCGCTCTTGCCCGGGCGTCGCTCGGGTGCGTGGCATTCGTGTGACTTGTGCGCTTCTTCGCATGTCCACTCTGGAGTCGGCGGGGGGTCTGAGGTGGCCCAGCACAAGCTCTGTCGAGCGAGCCGAGGCTCGTGATTTGGGTTCGAGGATGTTTTTTTTGTTTCATGTTGTTTGCTTCCTGAGCCGCTGTCGGGACCCAGGACTGTCAACAACGGATCCGGGGTGAAAACCTTCACCAGGTCGACCCCGGGAGGAGTTTTGGGATCGATTTTGAGCGGATTTGGCTTCATCCCTTCCTGTTGACCGACTCTCGCAGGGCCCATCCAGCTGCCCCCACCGCTCGACCTGGAACCACTCTTCAGCGGACGAAGAACAGTGTAGCATAGTTTGTGCCGCCATCGGAGACGCCCGTCCCGGGGTTGCGGGGACGTTTATGCCCCGACGTGCCGTCGTAAGTGTATGAACGTCCTTACCGCCTGGGGACAGGCGTCCCCGATGATGGACAGGCTTGTGTCATACTGTGCTTCGTCTGCTAACCCATGGAAGCCGCCGTGCGGAGTTCGGAAGTCGGCTGCATCGCGCAATCCTTCCGGATTAGGAGGAAACGCGCGCACGACACCGCGCCCGAACGACGGCAAGTAGTGAATCTTGGCGGCAATAATCAAAGTATCGCGAGTGCAGTTCTTTCTCGGGAAGTCGGTCCGCCTCACTCACATGCAGGAGCAGGGACCCGGGGGCCATGCTGGGGCCGGTGAGAAGCTCTGGGTACTGTCACGTGGCTGCGGGGGTTCCTCTCGATCACGCATTCTCAATATCTACTTCCGTGGTGCGTCTTGGCATGGGCGTTTGGCGACTGAGCGCAGTTTGCCGCATTGCACCGAAAGGAGATGTGTGATACGTTGATCATTGGCTGGCCGCGTTCCCCCCCTCTTCGCCCACCTTTTTCCAAGAGATGTACTGTACAAAGCAAACCAAGCATGCGTAGTTCTGAAAGGGGTCTTAGTTTATTCAGGAGGGCAAACACACAGACACTATTCATCGCCTATTCGCAGGAAAGTATTGGAACATTTGGGCAGTGGGGGGAAACCGACAATCCAGAAGATATAGGAATCTATGGGGAATCCTGGGATTTGTGTGTATTTATTTCTGTGTCCCTTGGCCCGTTTATTTGTGCTGGCCCGAGCTTTTGTTCACCCCCATCTGGCCCTGGACTCCGGCAGCGAGTGGCCGCCGCCCTTTGGCTCTGCAGTGAGGCGCTCCTGCGCACGTCGGATGCGCCGTTCCGGCAGGGGGCGGAGGAGAAGGAGGTGGAGGAGGTGGAGAGGAGGAGGAGGAGGAGGAGGAGCTTGCGAGGGAAGAGCTGGTCATGCATGTGTCGGGGGCCCAGCTGCGGTGCGGTGGCCACACCGTGCGGTGAGTCGGGGGGGATTCGGGTGATTCTGGGTGACCGCACGGCTTTGGGACTTGGGTCGCTATCCGAGGACGTCTTGGGCGACTAGGGCCTCCGAGGTCTCAAAAGCGCACTGTGACCCAGAACTCCGACCTCGTGTTTTTTACCAACGCGGCCCCCCAGGAGATAATCTGGACCCCTTCCCCAGGACCCGCTTTTTATACTGAGTAGTTTTTGACGGCACTGGGGTCCATTGAGAGCCCCTGGAGGTCGAAAATGGCAAAAACACCGCCCGTCGTGATTTTTCTCCATAGCGAGAGGAGGTGGGGAGACGGACCGTGCGGTGAGGTCTTCGGGGCTTCCGAGGCCACCGCAGGGCCCGTCACCGCACGGCTTCTGGGACAACCCAGGAAATTGTGGGCGTTGGCAGGGATGCCGGCTCGCATCTCCGTCGCCTTCGCTTTGCCAGAGTCCTTGTGTTATGTCGGGCGTGTCCCCCTACATGGGGATTTCCGGCGAAAAAATTCAAAAGAATACCCCAACAATGCCCCAAGAAGGTCATTTTTAAAAAATAGTCCCCAGACTATTTTTGGACTATGTTTTGATTATTTTGTTTTTTATTTTTCGTCCAAAATCCCCCTGTAGGGGGACAGGCCCGACTTAATCCTTGTGGATACTTGTCGACCAGATGAGCGGTGCAATTATGCGGGGTCGTCGGCGCCGACCTTCGCGCGAAGGCTGCCCGCGTACGGTCGCGCGTAAGGGCCCTCGCTGCACCGTGGCGTGCCGCGCGGGCGGCCCGCGTAGGCCACCGCGTGAGGTCGCTATGCCATCTCGCGTGAGTCGGAAACTGGAACATCGACTTATGTCGGGCCTGTCCCCCATACAGGGGGATTTTCGACGAAAAATAAAAAATACCCCAAACATGCACCAAAAAAGGTCAAACAATACCCCAAACATAGTCCCCAGACAATTTTATTATTATTTTTGGATTATTTTGTGGGGGTATTTTTAATTTTTCGTCGAAAATCCCCCTGTAGGGGGACAGGCCCGACTTAAACAAGGACATTACCAGCGGCGGGCCATTTCTCAATCCCAGGACTTCTTGAGGGTCGGGGGCGACGTCGGGGTGGTGTGGTGTACACTTGTTGTCCCCGTTGTCACGGGGAAGCATGGCAACACGTGTGTACAAGGATCCCGCGTACACCAGGAGCCGACCGCTTTCCTGTGCGAGCTGCGGCGCGGGGCCGGAAAACACGTCGGTGCATAGAGTCGGGAGCCTTGAGACGGGGGTCAATGTAAACGGGGGTCAGCCAGGGCACCAGACCCTGCATGATCCTGCGAAGACCCCCTCTGGCTGACCCGGGTTTGCGAGCCGCTCGTGGCCGCGAGGCGGCCGCGCATATTGGCCGACCCGGGTTTGCGAAGACCTGCGCTGCAGTTTTTTTTCCCGCATTGCAGTTTTTGGTTTCCTACTGACCCGGGTTTGGATTGACCCGGGTCAGGAGATCCCCGATAGAGTTCGGCTCCTCAGCAAGACCAGTTTCTGATCCGTCGGCCAGGGGTGGGTCCCCAGAGATGGCCCACCCAAAAAACCACCCGGGTGCCAGGATCCCGCGTACACCAGGAGCCGCCCGTTTTCCCGTGCGCACTTCGGCGCGGGGCCGGAAAACCCGTCGGTGTATAGAGGTCGGCTCCTCAGCAAGACCAGCTTCCGCCCGTCCTTTTGCCCTGCTGCGCCCCCCAGCCCTCACGAGGGCCTTTCGGCTCACCAGGCCGCCCTTTTTGGCCCTGGCGCGTGCCGTGGCGGACCTTTTTTCCGCCTGCAGGGTCTCTCCCCGCGCCGTAGGGTGCCTGGCTAAACGTGGCGGACAGAGCGTGGAGCTCAAAAAATCCGTCGGCCAGGGGCGGGTCCGCAGAGGGGCCCACCCCCCCAGAAAAAAAAACACCCGGGGGCCGCGCCCTCGCCCACCCCAGCGAGGGGCCGCGCAGGTCCCGGAGGCGTCGCGCCCGCGCGCCGGCGTGGGCGCGTTTGGTGCAAGACCGCCGACGCGGAGGACCCCGTCTGGAGCGCAGGCATACCCAGGATGGGCAGAGTCGTAGAGGAGGAAAGGGTACACATACCGCTGCCCTTCCCTCGTTGTTGTTCCCCTGCTGTGGAGGGCCTCCTGAGAGGCCCTCGTCGCCACCGCTGGATTCGCATCGAGATCTTGGTCAGAACGCACCCCAGGACAGGCCCGGGGAGTAGCGGATCGGTACCTTTTGGTTTCCCCGGAATCATGCCAAGGGGGGTTCGGGGGGATGGCAGTTGTGAAGCTCAAGTTCCTCGGGCGGTGGACAGGGGGATGGGGACGTTCCGTCAGAAGGTTAGTCGTCCCCCCTTGATTATTATGCCATCCTGCGTATGCGCATCAATGTTTTAGACCCCTCGCTTCACACCCAAGACTCCTGATGACCCCAGGACAGGCCCGGGGAGCAACGGTATCGGTACTTTTTTGGTTCCCCCGGAATCATGCCAAGGGGGGTTCGGGGGGATGGCAGTTGTGAAGCTCAAGTTCCTCGGGCGGTGGACAGGGGGATGGGGGCGTTCCGTCAGAAGGTTAGTCGCCCCCCCGTGATTATTTTGTCATCCTGCGTACGCGCATCGATGTTTTAGACCCCTCGCTTCACATCCAAGACTCCTGATGCAAGGACGGGGGGGAACGACCGCAGAGGGGGCTGCGCGCGAATACGCGCGAGCGCACATGTGGTTGTGCGAGTGCCACTGCACGCGCACAGCCGCACATCTACGCCAGGAGTGCGTGCGAGATGCCTGTCTGCATGGGCGTGTAACTTTTCAGCGTGCACACACCGCGCAGCTGGGCGCTGGTGGAGGCTTCGGTCGATTTCTGACCCGGGGAACAACAATCGGAAACTGGAACGTGTATATTACCAGCGGCGGGGTGTTTTTCAATCCCAGGATTTTTTCGAGGGTCGGGGACGACGTCGGGGCGGTGTGGTGTATACTTGTTTCCCCGTTTTCACGTGGAAACGACAAAACAAGTATACACCAGGATGCCGTATACACCAGAATCCGTTCTCTTGCGCGAATCTCAGTGCGGAACCGAAAAAACAAAAGCGTCGGTGTATAAAGTTCGGTCCCTTAAACAACATAACATCAACACAAGCCTTCAGAGCTCCACGCGGATCTATTGGATCCGCGCTGGGCCTTGGGGCCCTGGGCGGCTTCAAGAGATCCGCGCCGAACTCCGACAGTTTCTGTTTATGCTGTTTTCTCTCCCTCTGACCCTACCCCGAGTTTCTTCATAAGCGTCGGGGGGGCGTCACCCCCGCCGACAGCCCCACATCGACCCCCGTCGCGGGTAGCCACCGCGCGCCGAAGGCACTCCGACCCCCGTCGCGGCGCGACGACGAGGCGAGGTCGACCCCCGTCGGCCCCCCCCCCCCACGCTTATTAAGAAACCCAGAGAGGGGGTGTTGCCGTCGGCGCTCTGGGCGAGCGCGCCGAGCTCTGCCAGAGCGCTGGGGCCCCCTCGCGCCCCCCTCGCCCTCGCCGGCCCGGAGCGCCGCCGACGGTCGAGCAAGCAGCCGCTTCCCGCGCGGAGCCCGAGGGGAGCCCCCAGACATGTTGGGAATGACGCCCCTTTCCGCCTCCTCCTCATCCTTCTCCTTCTCCTCCTCCTCCTCCTCTTTTTCTCCTCCTCCTCTTCGTCCTCCTCCTCCTCCTCCTTCGCTCCTCGTCCTCCTCCTCCCCTCTTTCTCCTCCCCCTCCTCCGCCTCCTCATCCTCCTCCTCCCCTCCTCCTCCTCCTCTTCCTCCTCCGCCTCTTCCTCCTCCTCCTCCTCCGCCTCTCTTCCTCCTCCTCCTCCTCCTCCCCCTTCCCCTCCTTCTCCTCCTCCCCCTCCTCCTCCCCCTCCTCCGCCTCCTCCTCCTCCTCCTCCTCCTCCTTGTCTTTTCCTCCTCCTCCTCCTGGCCCTTGCCGGGCCCCAGACCCTGGTATGCCACGTTGCGTCGGGCTCGAACGTGGCTCTGCATGCCGAGATTGGGGAGAAACCTCGGTCGGTTGGTTCCCTGTCGACCGATCGAGCGACGACGAGACCCTCGGTCGATAGATCGAGAGGCGGCGGCGGCGACGGCAATGACGCCGACGCCAGCGCGGGCGGCGATGACGGCTCGGGCTGTCGTCGTCGTCGTCACCGTTGCTGATCGGCCTCGGTCGGTCGATTGACCGAGCGGTCGATCGATCGTGCGATCGAGCGATCGTGTGACGGTGATCGGGCGATTGGGGCTCGAGGGGTCGCACGGTCGTGGATCGCTGAGGGTCGCACGACCGAGCCATCGGACGATGGAGGCTCGTGGAGGATTGCACGTGCGCTCGAGCGCTCGACCACAGTTGACCACGTGCGCTCGAGCGCTCGACCACATCGTGCGCTCGAGCGATCGGGCTGCAGCGATGGAGCGACGGCGATGGCGGCGGGCGGCCGCAGCGGCGCCCAAAGGCGGAGCGCGCCCTCCGGGCCGCGGAGGCGGCGGAGGCGGCGGCCGCCAACTTGGGCGCGCGCACCCGCTGCCGCCGCGCGGCCGCCGCCGCGCCCTGGGCGTCGTCGTCGTCGTCGTCGTCGTCGTCGTCGACGTCATCGTCGTCGTCGGCGTCGTCGTCGTCCTCGTCGTCGTTGTCGTCTCCGTTGTCGTCGTCGTCTGCGAGGTCCGCGTCGTTGTCGTCGTCGGCGTCGTCGTCGTCCTTGTCGTCGTTGTCGTCTCCGTTGTCGTCGTCGTCGTCTGCGAGGTCCGCGTCGTTGTCGTCGTCGTCGGCGTCGTCGTCGTCCTTGTCGTCGTTGTCGTCTCCGATGTCGTCGTCGTCGTCGTCTGCGAGGTCCGGTTCGTCGTCGTCGTCGACGTCCGCGTCCGCGTCGGCGTCGGCGTCGGCGTTGTCGTCGGCGCCGTCGTCGTTGTTTTTGTCGGCGGCGTCGGCGTAGGCGTCCTCAATTTTGGCGTCGGCGTCGGCGTAGGCGTCAACGTCGCCCGCGTCGTTCTTGTCCGCTGCTTTTGCGTAGGCGTCAAAGGCGTCGTCGTTGTCGTTGTCGTCGTCGTCGTCGTCGTCATCGTCGTCGTCGCCAGCATCGGCGTTGGCGTCGGCGTTGGCGTCGGCGTTGTTGTCGTCGTCGTCGCCTTAAGCGTCGTCGTCGTCGGTGTTGGCGTCGGCGTCGGCATCGGCATCGGCATCGGCGTCGTCGTCGTCGTCGCTCTTGTCAGCGACGTCAGTGTAGGCGTTAAAGACTTCGTCGTCGTTGTTCTTGTCGGTGGCGTCGGCGTAGGCGTCAACGGCTTCGTCGTCGTCGTCGCTGTAAGAGTCGTCGTCGCCTTAAGCGTCGGCGCCGTCGTCGGCGTCGTTGCTTTGCTTCGTGCCATAATATGTCCGCTTATATCAGATCGGGCAGATCAGACGGGGATGAACTCATAATGCTTCAATACTGCGCCCTTCTTCATCCTTCTGCTCCTCCTCTCTTGATCCCTTCCCTTGCTCTCCCTCTTTTTCCCTCCTTTGTTCGACGATGGCCTGCCGTCACGGGCAGTTGACGTCTCAGCTGGGGATGCGCTGCGACCGTTGCTCTTGGGTCGCTGCTTCGGCGTGGGCGGTACAGCGCTGCATAGTGCCGCATCGGCCTTCACCCCTCTCGATTGGGATTGCGGATCTGCTTCGCGATCTCTATTCACTTGGCTCGCGATACGGACGGCACGCGCGCAAGCTAACACCGAATTCATGTTTTTCTAGTGTAGAACATCTGTCCGCCTAAGTTGGCGCCACGAATCTACGCGGAGAGGAGGACTGCATCCTGCTGATCATTCGATTCTCGTGCGGGACGAACCCATCTCGAAAAGCAAGAGGGCAGGTACGAGTGAGGCCTTCTCGCACCTCATGGGCCGAGGAGAGCCCATGGATTCTGAGCTCCACGGGACATCGATCGCAGCACAAAAAAGCGGCATATACATGCATGCTCGCCGGTCCGAACAGATCTCTTGGGTTTGCTCCAGGTCCCGTCCCTGGCGCGCGGAACTCGCCAGGGGCGGCGCAGGAGGCGCCGCAAGGGGGGCACCAGCGCAGATCCATGACCGTTGAAGGTCTATTCCCCAGACAATGCTCGCGGGAAGGGGTTGCTAGTTGCTCTCTGTGGACCTGGGGCCCGTTGTCGATCTGAGCGGCTGTGTGGCCGCCGCTGCCGCGCCGTCGTCGCCTCGTCGCCGCCCGTCGTCTGGGCCTGTCTATCGGTCTGGTGGCTATGCGGCCGCCGTCGCCGCCCCGTCGCCGCTTCGCCGGTCTGGCGGCTACGTGGGCGCCGTCGCCGCCCCATCGCCGCCTTGTCGCCGCCCAGGACAGTCCTTTCTAAAACGGGTATTCGGATCTACCTCTCCCTGGGCCTGAGGGTACGTGTGTTTTCGAGGGCATAAAAAAAACGCCCCTACCCTGGTTTACGAGGCGCTGTGCGCTGAAACTCCTGTGGGCTGACAGGGTAAGCCCTGCGTGATGTGCCGCGTCCTGGCGGCTCTAGGCTTTGGGGGTTCCCAGGAGGTTTACAGACCACGCACTTGTAACCCAGGGTAGGGTCGTTTTTTCATCCCTCAATGTTTTGGCATTGCAAGTAATCATGATTCTGTCCCATCGTCCATCCTGAATTTGAAGTCGCACCATTCCAGGCAGTCGCTTGTCGCCCCCTCCCCCCCGGCATCCCCTGCAGAACATACTATGCGCGCGCACTCATCCATCAACAAGTCGACGAAATGCGCACGTGCGCGCCCTTCTGCGCGCATGCGGATTTGTTTCAAACACCTCCTGTTTCGTGAGGGTTTCAAAATCGAGTGTCCCGACATGTGTAATCAACCCACGGTTTTGCAACAGGGATCGTAAACAAAAAACCTGCGCTCGCGCTTTTGCGACTTGTTAAGAAACCATGCGGTTATCAACCTTGTCATCAACTGCTACCAAACGTGCCTCCGCGCGCATGCCGAAATAATGCGAATGCCCTTGTGTGCGTGCTGTCGCAACAATTCCTAGCAACAGATGCGACGAAGTGCGCACGCGCGAGTTGTCGCGCGCGCATGCCCAAATTTTTCAACAACCTCAGGTTTTGCATGGGCTTCGAATTCGAATGCACAAACGCATACAAGCACATGGTTTTCCAACATCCGTTGTCATAATCGGTCCGCGTGCGTGTTTGCGAATTCAAAAAGGAACACATGGCTTTCAAATTTTCCATCGGATTCGACCAAGCGGGCCTTTCGCGCCGCATGTCGAAATCATTCGGACGCCCCTGTGCGCGTGCTGGGGTGGAGGGCGCCATCCCTGTCAACTGATACCATGCGGGTCATTCGCGCGCGTCGGCCGCGCGCGCATGTCGAACTCCCTCCAAACCCTTCATCGCCAACGCGGGGACACCGTCGTCGTCATCGACGTGATCAGCATCGGCGCCGTCATTGCCTTTTGCCGTCGTCATCGTCACCATCGTCACTAGCACCGCTACTATCATCCTCGTGTCTTTCGTTGTCAATGTCGCCATGGTACTGCTTTCATATTCCCCATGAGTTGCCTATTGTGTGCCGTTCTCATCATCTTCATGAAGTGCCTGCTGGGAAGTGCCCGGCGGTCAGCGCCACCGCGGCCGCATCGGGATCGCCTGACTAGCTGGCGGCTCTGCGCGCGAGCATGCGTGGGCTAGCGCAGCCGCAGATATGCACCAGCCCACACCAAGCACTCATCGCAATCGCCACCGCAACGGACTTGCAAAGCAAGTTGCGGGTGGGTGGGTCGGTGGGATGCTTGCGCGAGCAGTGGAGTTGATAATTCCAAGTTTGCCAGAGTCATTTGCAAGCATACATTCTCCTTTCTAAAAAAAGAATTAGGATCTAGCGTCCGCACGCGGGGATTCTCGGTCCTGCCTGGGATAGTACGCTGCGTTATGATTATGGTGCCCAATCGGTCGTTCGAAATATGAATTCAAACAGTGCCAACCAGGCCGGTATCGATTCACCCCGCCATCGTTTGCAACAGAGAGTATGCGCGCATACTTTTCATGTGCAACATTTGTTTGAGGAATTCCTTGCAAAACAACGTGGCGAAGTGCGCGCGCGTTGTCGCGCGCATCCCGGAATCTGTCAACAACCGTACATAGGTTCGCAAGGATTTCGAAATCGACGATCCCGAAAACCGATCAAAAACAATGAGGTCGCAACAGGAACTCTCAAACAACAAGCGTTCGCGCTCTTGCGAATTATGAAGGGAGACTTGGTTTTTTCTTCAGCTTTGTTCATCGCAGACAGCCGAACGTGCTCCTCGCGCGCGCATATCGAAATCACTCGAACGCCCTTCCGCACGTGCTGTCGCAAAAATCCCTCGCAACAGAGGCAGCGAAGTGCGCACGCGCGCGTCGTCGCGCGCATGCTGGAATCGAATAACAACTCCAGGTGCCGCAAGAAGTGAGTTAAACCGACTGTCCCGAAAACATAGAAGACACAATGGTGTCGCAATACGAACTTTCAAACACAACCTGCGCCCGCGCTCTTGCGAGTTCTTGAGAAAACATCTCTTTCAATGTTCTCATCAAAGCCTACCTGACGTGCCTCCCGCGCGCGCGTGTCAAACTCATTCGAGCGCCTTTGCACGCGCGCGGGGTGCACAGCCCTTTCAAATAATACAGTGCGGGCCCTTTGTGCGCGCCGTCCGCGCTCGCATGTCGAAGGCCATCCAAAGCCGTCATCACCGCCGCGAGGACACCATCATCGTCATCAGCGTGATCAGCATCGGCGCCGTCATTGCTTTTGCCGTCGTCATTGTCACCATCGTCACCAGCACCGCTGCTGTCATCGTCGTGCCTTAAGTTGCCGACGTCGCCATGACACCGCGCCCGCCCGACCCACCGACTCAAACTGATGTGCCCGCGGGTCAGCGCGGTCTCCGAAACGCGTTCGGCAGGAAATTCCCAACGGTCAGCGCAACAGCGGCCGCGTCGGTCGCGCCTGACTAGCTGGCGGCTCTGCGCGCGAGCCTGCGCGCGCCAGCGCGGCCGCAGCGATGCACCAGCCAGCGGCGAGCAGCCATCGGAATCGCCGCCGCATGGGTTTTGCACGCCAGATTGCGGGTGGGTGGGTGGGATGATTGCGCGAGCATGGGAAGTGGTCGCGAGCGAGGGAACCAACATCAATTGCACCGCATATGTTGCTCCACGCAGATACCACGGCATATACTGCACCACGTAGATTGCACCACTTAGCTAGCACACAACAAGATGCCCCGCGTAAGCTGTACTACGTGTGCGGCACAACCTGTATAGCACCACGTAGCGTGCAAGCTGTTTTGCGCCACGTAAATTACACGATGCACGTGGCACCGTATCGTATGCGCAAAATTGGTTCCACCACGCAGACTGCACCACATAAACTGCACCACGCAGCTTGCACTTTTAATGGCCCGCGTAAATGGCACCACGTGGGGTTGCACAGCATCAATGGCGCCACTTAGGGTGCCCAACCTATATTACATTACGCATTGCGCCACACACACA